GCAGAAAAGCCACCCCTTCCGAATGCAGGAGCCGAGGCGGCCTAGCGGCTTCGTACGCTTTCTCGCTTGTTCATAAACCCTCGCTAGCGCAATGACTTTCGCTTCGAAAGGAAAAAAAAAGGAAAAACTCAAACAAATAATGGCTTTAAATAGCACTGGTGCCATAGCTTGTTCGATGGCAATCACCATAGGAAGTAATAGTTTCGTTTTAGAAAAAGCAAGCAAGAAATTTTTGACCGAATTTGTTCGGAATCAGATTCCCGACAAATTATGCTCCACAAATTGCTTGTTTCACATAGTTTTCGGCCCAACGCTTTAAGTGACTAAGTAAGTGGCAGATTAAAATAATTGCTAAAACTGTATTTTACAAATAACATAAGTAAACGAGAATTTTCGGCATATCCACGTAGCTGTGGCATAAAGTAAACACTCGGCGAAACTTCAAATGCAATGCCGCACAGTGCTCGGGCTGAATCATACTGTTTTGACAGATTTGTAGGTAAGGTGAATATTCAAAACATTTACTCGCGCAAAATTTTATTGTTCCGTCCCGTTCTGTGGCTGTGTTTCAATTCTAAGACATCATCGTAGACAGTCGACGTAGACAGCTCAAAAGACAGCATCGAGCACACGTTGTCCAAGAAATGAAACATGTCTAGATGGCTTTTACGCGACAAGGCACCACCTTGTGTCGAGGAGAGAGAGCTAAAATAAACAAATGTAACTGTCGATTTTTCAATCTTATTTCGTCATACAATTTAAGAAAAATTGAAAGTTACTCACATTGAGTGTCCAGAGAAGCATCTGCTTGCATGCAGGCGATCATTCCGGCGAGATCTAAGCAATCCGAGCAATTCGCTGAGCGGATTGATTGATATGTGGGGTTTAATGTCCCAAAACCGCTGTAGTGGAGGTCTCCGGAAATTTCGACCACCTGGGATTCTTTACCATGCACCCAAGTCCAAGCACATGGTCCTACAGCCTTTTCGCCTCCATCCGAAATGCAGCCGCCATAGCCGGAATTCGATTCTGCAACCTACGGGTCAGCAGCCGCATACTTTAGCCACTAGACTACCGCGGCGGGGCAGTTTCGCTGAGTCGCCATCTTGTTTGAACAGCAAAGTAGTCTGCATCGCATTTGTCTACGATGACATCTCCTCAAAGCTGTCTATTTTGCCGGCTACGTGAGAATTGGAATGGGACTTAAGATGACCGCTGTCCACTTAGCTGTCTATTTAGCCGTCTACGTTGAGTATTGGGACATGCTCTATGTATGTCAACAAGGGCACGCAAAAGAATACATACTATGTTGGTTATCGCCTACATAGTCCAGGAATATTACCACGAGCTTCTTAACCATATAATTTCAGTGAGGCGTGACGCCTATGGTGATGTGCATTGGGAACGTAATGTAACACTAGTCGTATGGAACCGCCGACACATTCAACCTGCAGCAACAATTTTGACGACTGACAGACGCACTGTCATGAGCAATATACGAGCTGTAATGTCGATTTCATGCTTATTCGACTACCTGCAATGTATCGAACTGAATTCGGCATACGTAATTGCCATAGCTACCTTTCGCTTGAGCATTTTTGCTCATGCCAACTTCACTACTTGCAGTGTAGCTTTTTTTTTTCTGACACGCCTTTCAAAAAGCAGAGTTTATTTTGAACTTCAAAAATTCAAGATGGTAAGAGCAAAACGCGGCCGTTGACAACTCGGTTTAATATATCTAGTTTAGCAAGTTGCATATTTGGCAATTCCTTTTTTGTCAGTCACCATGGACGTGCCACATGCAACGGAGAAGACAGATTTTCCTGTTGTCTTGTCAATTCGTGTAGTGGAAGAGCGCAGCATCCTGTCATGGTCGCAACTATGCAACACTGAGTCAAGGCACATGCACCGCACAGCCACCACTCAGCACTGACATTCACTAAAAACAGACAACACAAGACACAACCACAACACTAATGAAGTAGTACATTCTGCAGTCAACCGAATCGCCTCGCCGCACGTGCTTGGGCAGCGGTGGCGCCAGTGGTACGGCGGCTCACCAGAACCCGCACAGCCATCAAGTTGGCTTTCCCGTTTTGCGCATGTGAGTACACTTGGCAAATGGGGGCGCGAGTGACGAGTTCGATCAGAGGCGCAGCTCTGCTACCTAAAGGTAGCATATACAGTAACTCAAACACAGCACCGCCTCCTCACAGACTTTCTCACGCGGAACGTCTAATAAATATTTTATTCTCTCTCTGCAGACAGCAGGCTATCATCTTTCGACAACCTTTGCCAGCTAAGAATTCAGACGTGCAGACAACTTTTTCGTACTGTCTGATCACATGTCAGGTGAAAAATAGCATCACTTAGAAGTCCCACCTCAGCTGCATCTACCATTTCATGGGCTTGGATCAGTGCTTTGTTGCTACCACAGCAATGTTCGGAAGCCAGCTTCGCCACAATGCTCAAGTGGCATGGGGGGGGAAGCAGACCAAAAGAAATCAAAGGGGGCCAAGGGGCCACTATCACAGCACATGCGACAATGTCCTCACCAGTGGCACAGCCAAGGAGGAGTTTGGAAAGTGCAAATCCCCCCCCCCCCCCCCCCCCCCAAGAATCTGGGCTGCAAGCGTTGTATGTTGGCTTGGCGACAAGATTAATGCTGCAGCGGTGGTCACACTTGTACCCACCGGAACCTCGACGAGTCAATCATTACGATAATTTTCACTAGGCGAAAATTCCTTTTATTGTTGAAGCCAGACACAGTTCCAAATTCTGATAGGCCACGTTCAAGCATATTACAGTTTGACTCTTCGTACATGTGATAAGATATGCTCAAGCCAGATAATAACATATCTATTGAACCTTCACACGTTCAGCTAACATCTAAACACACACACACACACACACACACAAACATGACAGAATATTTGGCTCATTCACCGAACTTCACTTGTATGCGAGTGTACAATATATTGATACATATCTTTACTATGCCCTAATAACTAAAGGCAATCCGAAGTGTCTAATGACAAAGGTGATTGATTGATATGTGGAGTTTAACCTCACAAAACCACTACATGATTATGAGAGACGCCGCAGTGGAGGACTCCGAAAAAATTTCGACCACCTGGGGTTCTTTGACGTGCACCCAAATCTGAGCAATCGGGCCTACAGCATTTTCGCCTTCATGTAAATGCAACCGCCGCAACCAGAATTCGATCCCACAACCTCATAGTCATAAACCTAAAGCAGCGTAATAAGAAATTATATGTGGGCAGCTTTAGTGAGCAAAAGTTTTACTTTTCTGCAATGTGGAAAACAGTGCTAAAATAAGGAACATAAAGCTTAAATTTTAGGACACACACAAACACACTTCATCTGTTTGTCCCTTTACATTGACATAATTGAAAACAACGTTAGTTCGGTATGTCGCCGCGGGAAAAAAAATTGCTGCACCATAAGTTGCGCTCAAGCACTGAATCGAGAGCAGCGTGCGTGATACGAAGTTCACAATCCCGGCCAGGAGATCTACAACAAAAACCCACCTAGCTTACATAAGACCGCTCACTGGTAGCAAAGGCGAAAACTTGTGTCATAAAACTGTAAAAGTTCTTAAATTTACAGATGAGGTAGCAAATGCGATATCTATAGCAAGCTCGATAACGATGACGCTTATTCCAACAGGAAACTTAAGAGCAGTTCATAAAGGACGGAATGACACGTGACCTGTCGAGCACCGCGCAGCCGGAACCACGCGAGTGATGCGCACACTGTAGCCACGACGGCACCGTTTCAAAGGCAGCCAGCCCGCGCAGCGTGCCGGGGTATTATAGTCTTTCTTGGGATACTTTGACACAAAAACTTTGGTCTGTCTGTTTGTCAAGTCAAACGGCTTAACACAACCAAATCCATAGCGCCCACCAATATTGCTCAAGTTTCCACACTCATACTTGTGCGACTGTCGACTAAACAGCAAGTATTGCGCATATCTGAGGCACAATATCAACACTTCAATATCGTGTGGGGTGTTTCTTTACACTATAAAAGTCATACATAAGTAATTCTAAGAACCGATGCGTTCATTACTGCTGCAGTGACAATGCTATGCAATGCACAAAAAGACAAGTTTCCTACGCTTTGCTAAGACGACATGGTGCTGCCACCTACCTTGAAGTATACAAAATATGGCCTGCAAGATTGTGCATGCACGCTCCGCACTTGCTATAATAAAGACCATCCTTTCGTTTTCTGAGATTACCACCAGACGGCGCTCATGTCTCACGCAGTGCCTCCAGAATCCCATTCACAGATTTTCTCATGCAAATCACCAAATAAGTGTTTTATTCTATTCATTCTGTCCAGACGGGAGACTATCGTCTTTGGATGACATTTGCAGTCGAACATGCAGATACGGGGCAAAAAGTTTTTTTTTTCCTCTGTTTTCCTTTCACCCTTCGTTCATTCATTCCACGTCCCTTCTGTAACGATCTCGTCGTTCGCTCCACAGCGCTCCTCTTTTCAAACGTGAATTCCCTACCGCGTTTGTCACAAATATTTTCCGGCAACCACATCATAACCAGTCTTTCATCTTGGGGGACTGCACCAAAAGCTGTATGCGTATACATGTGGTTCTATGGGAGGGTAAATAGAAGTCGAAAAAGACCGCATCGTAACCAGTCCTGCATCTATAAGTGGTCATTATTAGCCAAAATATCTGTTACGTCTGCCGATAGATGTTACAGACAAAAATCTAAAAAAAATTTACAATGCAGCAGGCGCTATAGCGATTTTTATGCTTTGCCTCGATGGAAGCGCATGTAAGAGATGGTAACACGCCGAAAGTGTCATCTATCGAGCTTCGGCTTAAACCGCATCCCTCTGTGACGCCATCGTGCCGCATCCTCATATAATCTCGCTCCATGGCTGCAACTCACCGAAATCCCGGGACAGACAAGCACACAAGAGAGAAACGGCATCGCCCACACGCGACTCACCGGTTGACGATGCACCGTTCCAGGGAACACTGTAACCGTAGGCTGCAAAGCCAGCCTGGGCTCCTGCTTGGGCTCCAGCTCGCTCGGCGGCTGCCAGCATAGATCCCCGGCCCCGCAGTGTGGCCCCTCCCCTGCGCGTTGAACCTCGTGGCCTACCCCGACTCCTACCCGTGCCCCGGCCCTTTTTGCCACCTGGAGATGGTGCTCCGGGACTGTCCCCTGAGCAGGCAAAACGAAACGAGAAAAAAAATCTTTCAGGAAGAGGTTCCAAATGTAGACCATCGCATATTAGCTTCATGAGATGCAAAAATCAAAAGACCTATGGTTGCTGTGATGTCGTGAATGGCCTTGTGCTTTACGCTCAATAACACACTCACTTCACCCTTTACCAATAAAACTGCCCTGCACCAGCCCATCAGCTCTGCCAAATGAAGACTGTGCACACATAAAGTGAGCACAGATAATTGTCTGGCACATTAACGACACTGAGCAAGTCTCACCTGAAGCGCTCAGCGGAGGCAACGGGGTGCTCGACGGGCTGCCATCGTCCACGATGAGGGGACCGTCGCTGCTGTCATCATCTTGCGCGACAGCCACGCTGCTGAGCGAACGCTGCATAAGTGAGTAGGCATAACGAGCTTTTACACTTAAACATCATTGGAACAAAGTCATAGATGCCCTGAGAATACTTCATTATATCCTACAATTCCTTGTAAAACGGATAATTCTACCACCATACACACTAAAGCCTTATTACAACAAAGTTGCATTTCACACGAATTCATTATATCTGAAAACTTGTTATACATGTATACTCCTAACACTATATCTATTGCAAGAATATTCTTAATTTACTTCGTTACATCTGGGTTTGTTATATCAAGCTATATGACAAGTATATGACAAGCCTATTCTTCACCTAGTTCATTATAACCAATAATTCATTACATCTGTGTTCGTTATATTGAGGTATGAGTGTACTACTATTGGTTAAGTTATTTGTTTTTAAATGAATCCCCATTAGATAAAAACCATAGGGACAAGACCGGACAGCTCTCCCACAGAGCCCCATCATTTGAAAGCTGTTTGAACGATGTAGCCAGTAGGTCACCTTGGCTAATGAGGTACATTGTTTTACCTGTAGCCTACTTTATCCCTGCTATAATGTGATACACAGAATACGCTGTTGCAACTACAGTGTCTGAGCAAAATGTTTGTGTTTAATTTTGTTCCACCAAGTTCTGTGCAACTTCCGGGCAAAAAAAAATTTTTTTTAGCTTCGTTCAAACACACTTGTAACAATGCACAGAATATGCTGTTACAATAGGCAGAATATTTAATGCGGTTATAGGCAAGTCGTCTTGTTATAATGCATAGGATAATACTACAGTATGCGACAGCGTGGCATAAACACAGGCACCCACCTCACTGTACGGGCTTGGTGGGACGGAGTCCAGGCTGACGATGGACTCGGAGTCCTGTTGCGAGGGCAGCGTGGGAGGCGGCGTAGGAGCCATCGCCGCAGGAGCGCTGGTCGTCACATTGTGTTCCACGAGTTTCTTTTTACGAGGGCCCCGCTGGTAAGGAAGAAAAAAATGGCATAAAACGAGACAGCATGCGGTGCACTACAGTCACACCTTGGAAACAACAAACCGGCATGGCCATTCTATAGCCTCAATCAGACACCTAGGGTGCAAATCTTGTGGTGTACATCTAGTGGGCTGTCCAGCCTCCACTGATTGGCTGAAGCTCGGCGAGCAGCGCGCCACCCGTTTCCGGTCTTTCTTCCGAAACGTCATTTTGACGTCGCATAGCTTTCACAACTCTCGACATGAATGAACAAGACTGCTGCCCTCAGAGATCTGCTTTTGGACACACATCTCGGAGGCCGAGCATGAACTGTGATCACGCTAGCACTTCAATTAGGTTTAACGTGGCCACCCGCCTGACACATTTCAAAGTGTGGCAGTTTGGGCTAGTTGATATGACATGGTGATAGTTATAACGCGTTCTGTTAGTCGTTCTGTTCTTGCCCAATAACTATCATCATGAAAATTCAAAGGTCGATACGCATTGCCTGCATAGTTCTTTTAATATCTCAACACGTTGATACACAAGTTCAGACTTGTCAAGTTTGTTTAATAGTCCTGTCACTGCACATTCCCCCCACTTTCCTTCTATTTCTGCTCGGAACGTGCTGGCGGGTATGGTGCATTCAGACGACGGACCGAATCCGGATTTGTCGTGGACGCGGACAGCTAATCCGCGGATGGTCCGCCTGCAGGCGCATCCACACGACGGACGGTGTCCTAGGGGAAAACAGCCGGATTACCCTCGACAGCAGATTCGGCGCTCACCTGCGCTCGCTGGCAGCAGACCGGTTTGAGAGTATTCAACATTGATGCCCGCAAGAAGCGACGCTTGACTGCGATGTCTGTCGCGTTGTGACAAATAAACGAGGAGTGTTATTCTTTCAAGAGAAAAAGGAGTTGCTGGCAGAATGTTTTTTCAACTACATCGTTACCCACTTGTAGAACTTCTAAACGTGTCTCCCACCTTTTTTTTTTTAAAAGCGGCACGTCGCCGGTTGCAGAAGTTGGAATATTTCACCACCATGACGGCTAAGAATCTCGCGTGTTAAGCGACGGCGGTGACATTTCCCGAACCACCAAAAGTGATTTCTGCATATTTAATCACCTGAGAACAAAGTCTCCGGAAACTAAGCAAACAATGCTCAAGCGTAGATGATGCCGACCAGTCATGCAGCTGTCCGCGAACCATGGAGGACATCGGTAGTACTAGAGAGCGTTATGACGTCGCACACGGCGCGCCACTTTTTTGAGTAATTGAATGCACTCTGCCGAAGTAGACACGTCCACTAGATGAACACCGCGAGAATACCTCCCCTGTAGGATCCCCCAAGAAATACCGGCCAAAAGTGCAGCGCCGTAAATCAAGAAGTATGCACTCATCGAAAAATGTTTGCTAGTACGCCACGCTGCACCTCTGCAAGTGCGCATCTATCGGTATTGCAATCAGATTGCCTCCAGATTTATTGAAAACATTCAACCGGCAGAAACGACACCGCTTTGACAGATGCTGTGAAAGAGGCCATTTCATTCTGAAGGGAACTCGTACCCTGTGGAGGAAAAATATGTGAGGGGTATGACTATCTAAAGAAAGGAATGGCTTGCGCAGAAAGAGTGGTGCTAGCGTACAGTAATGATGAATATCTTAAGCTTAATGACAGCACGTCCGTGTAATGTGGCAAAGCATTATAATTGCGAAAAGAATTAAACACTGCATGGCAAGGCATGCTGCTTAGGTCTTATACAGGTTATATAAGCAATAATTTTCTCCTTTTTTGATATACAATCGCGAGTTTCAGTACAGAGTACGTAGTGTACCTAACGGCGTTATGCAAGTAGACTCCTGTTATACGAAACCTGAAGAGACTAGGCAAATGTGTTTCATTTAACGGGAGCTTCGTTTACCGCAAGATGAACAGGGTTGCACAATTCAAGTACAAAACCACTCATATTAAAAGACAGTTGTTCCATTTAGGGTAGTTTCGTTACCTGAGAGTCTACTGTACATAAAGACACAGTTACGGATGCTACATTGAAAGCACTAACCTTTTCGCCTTTGTCGCTTCGCCTCTTGCGTTCCTTGGGCTTCTCGACGTTGTCCTCGAGCTGCTTCCGTTCCTCCTGACGTTGCCGGACTGTGTGAATGTACAGAAGAAAAACAAAACAAAATCAGCAGCAAGAAAAAGACGAAAAAACATGCTTAAAGGGACCGACAACTGGTCAGAATGCAAGATTAGATTCTGGCAGAAATGAAACGGCTATGTAATACACTTAAGCCTCATTATAACAACCTCCTATCTGCCACGAAAATAATTTGTTATATCCGAAACATCGTTATAAATGATTATTTGTGACATTGTATCTATGGGAAAGCTATCGGTCACTAACTTCGTTGTAGCCAACAATTTGTTATATCCTAATTCGTTATATCGAGGTTTGAATGTATGCTGACAGATTATAGCATCCTTTTCAAGTTGTGAGTGGAATTTATTATGTTAAATCCTGCTTACAGGTAATGAAAAAAACTGATATGTCGTGAAGCGTGGTAGAAGAGCCTTAAACCTGAAGTACAAAGTTAATCACCTTGCTGTGCATAGTCACGCAGTTTAATGCTGTCATGCATGCCGTAATTAGTTTACTAATATGTGAGATTTAACGTCCCGAAACCACCATATGTATACGAGAGACGCCGTAGTGGAGGGCTTCGGAAATTTCGAACACCTGGGGTTCATTAACGTACACCCAAATCTGAGAACATGGGCCTACAACATTTCGGCCTCCATCGAAAATGCAGCCGCCGCAGCCTGGCTTCAAACCCGCGACCTGCAGGTCAGCAGCCGAGTATTTTAGTCACTAGACCACTACGGCGGGGCATGTCGTAATTACTTGTAAAAATTATAACATGCACATTATTATCCATCCTAGCTCAACTCTAAGCTGCTTTACGAGGTAGAAGCAGTTGCACGGTGAGAGGCGGTTCTGTTTTTGTGTGTCGAGCTGCGGTGCACGCGCAGTAAAATGTCGTACTCAAACATGAACTGCTCTAACGCTCACTGTTTGCATTGTAGCCGTGTGTGTACGCAACTTCATGTTCGCTGCAAGTAGAAAAATTCTGGTTACAAATGTTTCTGTCGCACTGAGGAACTTATTATAAAAATTGGACGTAAGATTCTTAAATTTGACAATTACACTTGACGGTGACCAATTAATTATGAAAATTAAAAAATAAATTCTATCTTAGAAGACACGCAACATACAAGAAGCGGTATGAGCCTTTAAGAAAAAGCATAAGAGCTGAGGCAGGAAAGAAGAGAAGGGTGAGGTTAAAAAATGAAGCAGATCAAGACATGTTCCATACTCGTGCTTTAAGGCTGTTCCGTTCTTTCAAGTAGGAACACTACAATACAGTTAAAATTTTGGATGAGTAACACAAATACCAGGATGTATCAAATTTAACGAAACAAAAAAAAAAATTAGTCCTACGAGTATGCACTTATAATAAGTAAGCTTGTGCGAATAGTTAATGTTATATTCGAGGCGAATATTAATTTTGATTGAATAATTTCAAATCGAATTTGAGTGGTATGTATCACATATAGAACAAAAATGGGAATATTTATTATGATCTAACTAACCTGCACAAAGCTTTTTTATTTGAAATATAGCAAATGTCACTTTTTTTTTCGGTCAAAGGAAGTCTAAACAATCTTTAGTAGTAGCGGTATTTGAGCTTTGGTAGGATGCTGGTGATGACCTGTAAAATAGGTAACATTTTAAAATTTATCATATTTAGAACATGTAAGCCATCATAACAAGCTTTAAAGTGTAATAAAATTATGAAATGTTCATTTAAAGAGGCACTGCAACACTTTTTCAAGTAGCCATGAAGCCACTAAAGAAGCTTATCGCCTTACGAATTCATGAGTGCAAAATTTTTAGAATTAGTCCATTATAAGCAGAGTCACAAAGACTTGTCGCACATTGCAATTGCATTCTCTCTTCTCGTCCGGACGAACGAGCTGGAAGCTAAAGGAGAGATGGCACGGGGAAAAGAAAAACGCCACGCTGGCCTCGTGACCTTGAGCACTATTTCTCTCTTCCATTTTTTCTTAGACTACGCGCCTCTCAGTGCGATCACCTACGTACATGTGGACAAGCGGGGGCCCCAGTAACGACCGAGCGCGTCATGCTCAAGTCAGCCAATGGCTGTGACAAGTGATTTTTGAGCTTTGAGTGTCATTTGTAGAAAGAAGAAGGCAATTTTTAGCTGAAATTCAGAATTTACTGTGTATTCCAAGTCTTGTGCTGCCGCTATAATATTTGCCTCGCGTTTTCTCAGCAGCGTTTTCTGACCATGCTAAATAAGTGTTGCAGGGCCCCTTTAAGTTTAAAAAAGAGCTTCACGGCAGAGCGAATTTTCCCTGTATAGGTGCTTCCACAGCTTAGCAACACAACACTGCAGTGAAACTACTTTTACAGGCGGTCACATGCAGACTATTTGTTCATCGCGAACATTTCTAAATTTTCAATTACCTAAATTCGAATACTCTACAATTCGTTTGAATATTTGAAGCATTCCAATATTCACACAAGCCTAATAATAAGCTTTTGAATAGAATGCAAGATATAATGTAAATTATGACCTAATTAAAAAGAGGCTTGATTCCAGTTTACAAAGCCACCTGCTCAATATTTTAGCCTACAGGAAAAATAACACGGGGGCTGATGAATAATTCCACAGTAGACAACTTTGATAAATTTGGAATGAGACTAAAATGCGTGCATTTCACTTTGATTTTCATCAGTGGTATGAGCATACTTTCAGTATTAATTCTAATAGTAAGAAGCCTCGTTAGAGTTAACTATAAACTCACACTTCCTCTCCAGCTCGGCGTCGTCCAAAAGCAGCGACACAACCTCCTTGGGTTTGAGTGTGTCAGGCTTGAAGTTGCCACCGCTGATCACCATGCGTTGGATCTGCAGACATAAAACACACGATTTTCATGAGGGTGGTTCTTGGCACGAAAGCAAAATAGCGCAATATTTTCAATCTTATTCTGCAAGTAATGTTAGTAGGCTTCCAGAAATATTCTGTAGGTTAGGGTCCTTCCGTAAGTGTTCCATATGCTGGCATCCGTATGTTAGGGTCCTAAATGTTTCGTATGGTAGTATGCACAGACAAGTTTTGTTACTAGGAACCTTCCGTAAATCCCCTTCCGAACATCCATTGGCTTAATTAAAGAATATTTCAATACTACAAATTTCAGAATACCAAGTGTTTCAGAATAACATATAGAATTTTATCCCCCTTATATCTCCACAACACTTAAATATTGAACAGGGATTTTATAAAGTTACTTGCAGCTGTGGTAATAGCGCCCAGCTCCCTACCAGCCTTTATCATCATCCGAATGCTGTCAAATTTTTTTATGCGTTTGGCCTATTCAAATGGGCGATAGCAATACCACCACCATCATCATCTGGTACTTGTTTTTCGCGCCAGGCTTTGCCCCGTCACCATTGTTATCGCTGGGCAGCTTTACCTGAGCGCATGTTACGCAGCTGTTTTCTAGCCTTCTGGCTTGTGGCTGAACATTCAAGATGAGCTCCGGAAGCGGCACAAAAGAAATGCTAGGACAGTGACCTACGGGATGTAGTCGCCGACTGAACACTACGCACAATGCGCCGAAAAAGCACGCACGTGACGAGTGATAGGATTAAACCATTTGATGAGACAAGGAAATGCACCAAGAGCAAAGACGGCGTTCAAACAGCGCGCGTGAACCAACGATATTTAACGCCAGTGCTTCACCCTGTGTAAGAAAGACGCACATGCATAGGATTTTGTCTTTCAGCAGTCAAGCTGCCCACATTAGGATAGATCTCACTCTTCCTCAAATAAATGTGCCCTGGATAAGTAATTTTTCGTGTCTGTTTTTCCCGCTTACTAGAGCGTAATGGGGTCGTGAATGTATACACAACACAGGTAGGCAACCCATGTGGTTGCGTTTACGACTTTTGTGCAAAATTTCAATATTTCCACTACAATGACTTCTCAAAATAAAAAATGATTTTCAGAGAACCTTGAGATTCGTTGTATAAAGATTACCCTGCATTCCGTATCCCATATTGCGGGGACCTGTCCTGCAGACCGTGCACCTCCATCACAGATTGAAAAAAGGAACTAAAAAAGTCTTATCGCAGCATTCTTTAAATGGAACTGATGCTTAAATGAAGCTATTGCTTCCAATACAATGTGTTACCACACAGTAAAGTGAAGTTTTATTTACATATTTTCCCAACTCCTTCAGATTTTGTTCAACAAGAGTTGACTGCATGCTGATTTACAATGTAATTCTCTCGGCTTAGAAAAACTTGCTCAAAAAAGGGCACACAAAATATTTCCTATTTTGGAACCACATAATGCACCATGTTAGCATTTGCAATCTGGACAGAGGAGTACATATATTTAGCAAGCTTCCTCAAAATCAAATTAGAACCTGAAAAGAAGCCTTAAACCACAGTGTCCCCAATTACTAAACGGTTTAGGTGCGAAGCACTTAAGGTCTCAGCTTGGCGTTTGATGTTGTCACACTGTGTTATGTGGAAGCGTCATTTTTCAAGAACTAAGGAGCTTTCATTTCTGTGAAATCCGTATGAATTTCCTAGTGGCTTCGTGCCACTAACAGGTGGTTGTCTATTTCCCCTTTCTTAACCTTTCCGCCACCTTGCTAGTCTCCGCAAAACTCGCTTGCATTACTTGTGTCCATGTGCTTCGAGTTGTCGATGAATTTGTCCTCCCACTGCCAATTGCTGGCTTTCTGGTTAGCTTGATCGGCAGAGCGACCGCTCCAGAAAGGCTTTAGTCCCCGGACCAGGACAATGTTTTCGGCAACTGAGAATCTTTGCTCTTTTTTGTGAAATCCGTACAGTTTTCCTCATGGCTTCGTGCCACAAAGAGGTGGCTGTCTATCTTCACTTTCTTAATGTGCCATGTAGCATAGTTATTCTTTATTATTTATTCAAAAAAAAACCTTACAGGCCCCAGAACAGGGCATTGGGTAAGGGGGGGAGGAATCGGAATGGTACAGACAGGTAACGTTTACAGGCAGGATCAGTGCAAAAACAACGAAAAACTATATATATATATAAATGAGATCACATTTCAGGCTATACAGGGCGAGGTAAATTTGAGGGAATACAGCACTTGTTGATATGAACATGGCGACAGAGGGATACATTTTAAAATAAGAGACAAGGGGAATATAAAGCACCGTTACGCAATGCACTCAGAATACAAAAACAGGGTCACATGGTGAACAAAGTGAGTAGCTGACGGCGAAATGTATCGGGATTAGATATGGAGGCTATGCAATCAGCGAGGTCATTCCAAAGACGAACGGCCCGAGGCAGTGGTGATGAATTGAATGCATTAGTTGACCCGTATATGCGCATGAAGCTGAACTGATTATGCAATCTGCGTGAAAAAGAGTGAGGTGTTTGAAGCTGAAGCCGCGTTCGTTTATTAGAGGTAATATATTTCTGGAACAGACAGAGAAGAGCAATACTGCGACGGCTATCCAATGACGGCAGCTGAAGGTCTGATTTAATTTGCGTTATGTTTGACGTGATGTCGTAGTTTCGTGATATGAAGCGGGCACCTCTATTTTGAATCCTTTCTACCATAATAATCAAGTAGTTTTGATGAGGAGACCAAATTGCTGAGGCAAATTCTAATATTGGCAGAATAAAGGTAAGAAAGGCTAGTTTTCGAATATTAGTAGGGGAATTTCTCAAGTTGCGGCGTAGGTAGCCCAGTGAACGTGATGCTTTGGCACAGGTAGACTCGATATGTGAGGCCCATGAAAGATTCTCTGTGAGAAGAACACTTAGGTATTTGTAGGAAGAAGTGTGGGAAAGCATGGTATTGTTCAAGTAATAGGAGAATTCAGAGTTTACGTGTTTACGGGTGAGGGCCCAATAGTAAGGGCCCAAGGACGCTGCCTTGCGGTACGCCCGAACTAACAGAAGAAAAAGGGGACGCAAGATTGTTAACAACAGTGAACTGCTGTCGAAAAGAAATAGAAAAAGTTAGCGGATATATGCCACAAAAGTTGGGCAAGTCACACTACTCGCCACCAGTCCGCTAAAAATGGAAACGGCAACAGTTTGCCCAGCTAAAAATGGAAACGGCAACAGTTTGCCCAAGAAATAGCCAACGACATTAGCGGAGCTGACACACCCTTCTCTACATGCCTTAAAAAGGGGTGGTGCCACCATTTTTGTGGCTGGCACGTTCTTTGCTGCAAGCGTTTTTTATAGCTCCAGGAAGCATAATACATGCACCAAGACTCATTTGTTTTCGCTAAATAAATTAATATCGTCTTTTTTATGTGGACAATTTTCGGTTTCTGGGCGCCGAATTGGGCTGTGACCCTGCTGTGTAGCTTGGTCGCGTGGCCAGGCTATGACCTACGCCGTGCTTATTGTTGTCTGCTCTCGCTGGCTTTCTCACACACACTTTCCGCACGAGCACTTGCAAAACAAACGGTCTAGAAGCTGCTGTGCTTTGCCTGGTACCTGCGTGACGGACGTTTCCCAGGGTGACACCCCCTCACTACAATAGGCGTGCGCACGGGAGGGGAGTAAAAGGGCGGCCGCTCCCCCAGTCACCTACGATGGATAGTGCAAACACAGCCCCACACATTGACATAATAGGGAGGCGATGCGCTGCGACGAACCTTTGTTCCCCCTGAAAGGAAAGCCTGCGCACGCCTACGCTACCCTACAGATCTGGTGCGACGTCACTACAGCTTTAGTTGGCCTTTCCGGAGGCCTACGACAGTTCCAGACGCACTTGCAATGGGCTTCGGTCGGCAGAACGAGCATTCAGGTACGCTCCTGGAGGGGAATTAAAATATATTCTAAACCTTTGTCGTGTCTGGCCGTTCACGTCGAGTGTCCTAGCATAAAAGAGGCTTGTTTTATCCTCGAAATTTGATGGCACCAACACTTTGAGAGACTGAAACCAAACATGCAGGAAAGAAAAGAAGTGTCTCAGGAATAAGCCACATTGACAGAATTTTCCGACAACATCAGTGGAGTGGAAACACCCTTTTCTACATGCTACACTTTTCCAACTTTTTTTTTTTCTCTGTAGACGTCTTTTTTTCAACAACAATTTTTCTAACTGTTTCCCGTGTACCCACGAAAACTGAAAACTAGGTCAGCAACTACTACACTGAAACCTCAATATAACGAGCCCAGATAGAACGAAACAACAGTTATCCTGAATATAACGAAATATCGGTTATAACTAAGTAAATACGGAATACAGTAGCAATACCCTCACTATAACAAATTGGCACCTTACATGAAAGTAAGTTCTTTATAACTGAAAATTCATTATAAAGGTATATTTCTACCAATGTACTTATTGCAAGACTATTTTTCATTTACTTAGTTAGAGCCAATATTTTGTTACATCGCAGTCTCAGCGTAGTGTAGAAATACACCTGTATAACAAATGTCTTTATATAAAAAACTGATGCAACAAGATGCAACTTTCTTTTATTGACATTTGTGTGTGTAGACTACAATAAATAGGTAGACAGTGGCTGCTCACCTCGCTCTTTTCTCGAGCCCTCTGAAGGATGCGTTCCTCGATGGACCCTTTGCAGAGGAGCCGGTACACGGTCACCTGCTTCGTCTGGCCCAGACGGTGGGCCCGGTCCATGGCCTGTTGGTCCACAGTCGGGTTCCAGTCACTGTCGTAGAAGATCACCTACCACCAAAAGAGTCCACATCGTGAAATACAACCAGAAGTTCAATGAACTTCCTAACTACCGAACAAGGATGCAGGCGAGAAAAAAGATGCAGTTCTCAAGATCTTCAATAATATTTATTAGTAATTGCCGGGATTCGACAATATGTGGGTTTTTAACATCCCAAAACCACCATACGATTACGGGAGACACCGTACTGGAAGGCTCTTGAAATTTCGACCACCTGGGGATCTCTAACATGCACCCAATTCTGAGCACACGGACCCACAGCATTTTCACCCCCATGTAAAATGCAGCCGCCACAGCTGGGATCCAATCCCGCGACCTGCGGGTCAGCAGCCGAGTACCTTAACAACTAGAACACTGCAGTGGGGCAATTGTCAGGGTTCAGTGTTCCAAAACCACTGTTTGATTATGAGAGACACCGTAATAGAGTGCTGCGAATATTTTGACCATCCGGTGTCTTTTCAATGGATACCTAAATTTAGGTTGGCCTCCAATGAAAAAACTTCGCAAAATATTTATTTCGCGTGGTTCCACAAGGAAAAAAGAACAAAAAAAACACAGCGACAAATAATCGTTTTTAAATGGTACAAATGGGCATCCACAAATGGAGACATCAGTTGCAAATATGGCGAGAACACCACCAATAGATGGTACTTCTGGCGTTCAGCGCTTTAATTTAAATTGATGCTAATTCTGCCTTTCAGCACTTTAAAATAAATAATTATTTATTTTTCAAATGATTCCTAAAGGCCAACAGCGTAGCTTTTGTTCACAATAGTACCCATCCCAGTGGTCAAGTGGATGTTATGATGCTAGACCGCTTATTCAAAGATCACAGGACCAAAACTCCAACCCGGAAGACGGAATACGATAGAGGCAAGATTGCTCAAGGCCCGCATACTTACATTTAGGTGCATGTTAAGAACCTCGAGTGGTCGAAATTGCCGAAGCACTCCACTAAGGCATCTCTCTTAATCACGTTGTGGTTTTTGGGACGCTAAACACCAACAATTATTATAATCTGTGCACAACACTGCGCATGCAAAAAACAAAAAAATGACAAACTTTAAAGAGTTTGGTCTAAGCAGCTACATGTAGCGCACTCTCTGCCCCACAATTTCGTTTCACTTGCACGCCAGCTCAAATGTTGCCTTCTGCTTCTCGCTTTTGGAGTAAGTCTAGAGAAGACTGAGTGACAGAAGCGCGAGTTTTCACAAGACACCAGCGATCCGCTGTCGTGTAATTTCCTCAAGTCATGTGCACGAATGTGCGTGCAGGTGGTGATGAGGTTAACGAAATTCCATATGAACAGCCGATCCTGCCAAGCCTGACATACAAAAATCTGAAGCCTTGCTTTCAATTTTGAACCCACCAAATGTCATAGAGTGCATCGATGCTGATGAAAGACTGTTGACAAAACTTGCGAAAATTATTTATCGTAAGCAGGCAGCATATATAACTTAGTCTTGCCCATCGCAAGACTAAGACCTCTCCGAGGGCGCCCCACTTTACTACATTTTACCACGTCGTGTGCAACGCGACTCAATTTTTATACCTGAAAACACATAAGTTCTATCAGCCCAATAAACCTGCCACTATCCTTAGTTACATTTTACATTCCACAGTATCGATTGCACCGCCACAACTGACCGTACTGACCAACAGATGATATGGCCTGGGATACCACAAGGATGACTGATCTAGGCGGTATTGCCCAAGGTATCCAAGGGATATCCTAGACAATGTAACCTATGACGCTGAATACAGTCGCCGACCAATGTTCCGGACCTAGCATGGACCGCAAAAAAGTCCGAAATAGTGGTCAAGCCGTGAATATGAAGTTTAGTTGGATCAGAAAAGCCTAAAAAAAAAATTCCCCAATAATACTACACTTCATGCTGTTCTTGGGGACGAGCGAATTTGGTTCTATTTGGGCTACGGAAACATGGTTGGCAAGCGCGCTGGCAATCGCTGCCGCCTACTGTTGGGGGCGCCAAAGTTGGTGGCTCCATGCAACCAAGCAAACAAAACTTGATGCCAGTCGCAAAGAGGTGCATGCAACGTCTTGTATGTTTGGTGGGATTTAGCAACATGGTGTGGGCTTCTTTTACCTGCACCGACACCCCGCAGTACGCGTGAGCCTCCAGCATTTTGCCGCCGTCAAAACGCTACCGTTGCGGCCACGATCGAACCCAAGTATTCAAGGTCAGTGGCCGAGCACCGTGACCAGCTGGAGTGCTAGTAAGCAATCGTGTACAGCAGCGAGCATGTGACACGCATGACGGCTCAAACACACTTGGCAAACCACTAACACAACCACGTGTGCAATGACCACCAAAAAAACAAATGCCCAGAAAACAAAACAGCTTAACAGCGTATTAATGATGGTGGTAAGGCTGACTGAAAAAGAAAAGCTTTGCCGTCTTGCTAGCCAAGGAAGATCAGACATGGCCTCCGAAACTAGAAGACTACGTGCGCTTCCAATCTTGGAGGCCACGCAACTAGCTACTGCAAGCTAAACTCGACCAAGCCAACAAAAAGCCAACAGGGCGACTTTCAAAATCGAGCAGTATAGCTAAAAACTAATGATTTAGTCCAAAAAATCGAACTTTGGAACATAAGTTCGTCCGAAAAATCAATCGCAAAAAAGCATTGGTGCAATGGGAAACTTTACGGCACATTCGTGAAACCCGAAATATCCAACAACTCCGAACTTTCGGAGTTCGCAAAATTCGTCAGCGACTGAATCCCCTTTTGGTCACTCATAAAGTTTGCTGTCATCCGGTCACTTGACCTGAAATCCTGAGTTCTTTCGTTAAATTGCTAATTGTGATGTCTCAGGTTTATCTAATGCAGCCATAGAGTTTTCTAAAATCAATTAGAGGGGGACTCTGGCGCTGAGATCGTTCAGCGACCATGGGAATGATGGGTAGTACACACATTTGCCTAGTCTTCGTGCAAACGGGCTTTGAACACACTTGTGGCTTTGTTTATTGCAGTGTTTCGGTTTTGTTTCAAACGAAAGAATGAACCATTTTGAATTTCGAGACCTGATTTGAATAGGTGTCTCAAAAGTTAAAGTGGTGAAGGGCAACTGTTGAACATTTGTCGATTTTTTTTTCTCGTGACAAAACAACTCAATGCCAAACGGAGCCAGAAGTATGAAGACTATGCAAACTTGTGCCCTACCCATCATTCTCGTGCTCGTTGAAGCGCCATGCGTTGCAGCTCCCATAGACACTACAGTCGTGCCCCGCTACAACGAACGCCGCTTCAACTAAAATCTCGCTAGAGCGAAAAATTCACGGTTCCCCGTCAGCAGTCCATAGGAGTCGATCCATAAATATTGTCGCCACAACGAACACTTTTTCTTCTGCCGTCCCGCTTCAATGAAATTTCATGATGCGATTCCAGGCTCAGTCAGATACTTATTGCTATACAGTAAACCTAATCTTTAATATTTTGATGCATTTTCAAAACCTGACAATACGTCAACGAAGTCTTAGACTTCGTCGATATATTTTCAGGTTCTGAATATGCATCAAATTGTTAAAGATTGGGTTTACCGTATAGCCGCAGACAATCCGAAGCTGAAGCGCAGTTGCCTAGTTCATGGTTTTCTTCGCGCAGCTGCTGGGTGCATCTGCGGAATGATGCCTTTTTCGATTCCAATGCTTATCGTTTTGTTCGCGCTTGGCCAGTGTGGTAACTAATCAGAGCGGCTGTCCGTCCGCATTGTCAACAAATTTAACTAGCCGTGAGTGATGGATGATAAGAATGGCATAAAATAAGGCAAAAGTCACCGTTCCACGATACCCTGCTGCCATCCCGGCATTTTGACGGCGGACAGCTGCTGGTGTGAACGTGTTAATGCAACTGTTTGGTTTGTTCACGAAAGCGGTTCTACTCATTGTTTCAGCGTGCTTTTCAGCATGGCCTCGCTATGCATGGGTGAGAATGCCATAGTGATGCGGCTGGGATAACATAAAAAGCAGCGGACACTTCTTTAATTTTGAGAATGACCGTTTCTTTGTTTTGCTAGTTCAGATCAGCTATTTTTTTTTCTATTTCACTACAACGAAATTTTTTCTGCGCCCCTTCAGTTTCGCTGCAGCGGGGTTCAACTGTATTGACAGAGTTCGCTCTAGTGTACTAATCAGAAACTATAAATGCAACAGTGGCTCGTCGAAAAATCTGAAAGGAAAGCTTTTATAATTGATAAAGTAGGAAGGATGTTGCCACATCACTACATCACCCACTCACCGTGTCGGCAGCTGTGAGGTTGATTCCAAGGCCACCGGCACGCGTGCTCAGAAGGAACACAAAGATGTCCGACCTGCGAAAGAGAAGCCGTAGTGTCACAGGTGACATAGATGCTACTCGGAGCACCAAAGCAGGGCAAAAATAGGCAGCTGTGCTTGGCTGGACGAGTGAAATATCAATCTTTCTAAATAGGCATCCAAAATGTTGCATGTCCTTTTATTTTGTCTTGTCTAAATTTTACACAGTTACTACATGCTCCTGCAGCTGCTGCTGAAAACTTGGATCTAAGCAAGGGTAAAGATAACTTCACTTATTCAAATTTGCATTCATCTGTACCTGCGAGTATGTTTCACGCATCATTTGTGCGTGAGAAACGCGGAGCACGTTTCGATCTGCTTGCCATTTTTTGCGTGACCTTCCAGTTTGCTGTTGTCGCGTTCATGGGTCCGCCTTTGCGGCAAAGCTGTGACTTTTTCTTTTCTTTAGGCTCTTTTCAGAGCCACTTAAACAATGCATTTGCTGAATTGCAATAATAACCCTGTACCCCTGCCACGACCCTCTGCGTCAGCGAAAAATACCTATTAAAAAGTGTGCTTTCGTGTTTTTCGGGACATTTTTGTGGCCCCTTGAAGGCCTAAGAAATCGGACATCGGCTGTACTTACCATACATACAGGCCTAAAAATTGATGCCTAGCAGATCAGGAGCTACCAGGAGCAATCGACACTGCATGTGCTCCCGACAACTCCTCTCAATTTTACGGGGCATTTTGCTTGAACATTCACTGCAAATAGTTTTACGAACTTGCCACTAACGTTTCAATAACTCGAGTAGGACAGACTGGCCGGCAGCATCGAGCCGCCTTAACGTAGAAAGCTCGAGCACACAGAGATGCACCCGAGTTGCTGTGATAATAGAGTTTCCCATATATATGTGACGAAACGGGTTGGCACCGCTTCTGTGCTTGCGCGTCGCGGCGATGCCTCCAAACATGGGCGCCGGCAATAAGAACACTCTCGCCCGAAAGAAGCCAGAAAACTGTGTGTGTGCCCCGATTCAGGGGAAGTTGTAGAACCTTCAGTGCGGAAACATTAAAGTTATGTTATCCCACATCTGGTGACCCGGAAAACGAACGTACCACACCGCCATGGCCGATGAGAAAACCCCTGCTGCCCTTCAACAACAAGTACAACAACTGCAGGGCCAGCAGTAAGTGATCCAGAACCAAGAGCAGCAGCTCCGGGAACAGCAGCAGCGCAATGAAAATGAAGCGCTCTCGTCCGACGACCGTGCACCGCCCCACTTGGGCCACGCCCCCCAAAACTTCGCTTGAGCGGTCCCTGCCATCTCGGGCGCCTCCATTGCTGCGGCCGCCACCGACACGGACGTCTGTCGCGTCGCCGTCAAACTTCCACCGTTTTGGGCAGAGGCGCCTGACGTGTGGTTCGCTCAAGTCTAGGCGCAGTTTTCCACGGCACGCATCACCCAGGACTGGACGCGCTATGACTACGTCGTCGCCCATCTAGACTATCGCTATGCAGCTGAGGTTTGCGATGTACTTGCAAATCTTCTGGCTGATGACTGTTACCTACACCTGAAGAGGGAACTAAACTTCCAGCTTTCACCTTCACAAGACAAGAAGGTGCGCTACCTACTCCAGCACGAAGAACTCGGTGACCACAAGCCATCGTAGCTCCTGCGTTACATGCGTGACCTCTTGGGCAGCACCCCGGTCGACGACTCCCTCCTCCGTATCATCTGGCTTCAACGTTTACCCTCACATGCGCAGGCCATCCTCCAGGTGCAGCAGAATCTGCCGCTGGACCAGCTCTCTCACATCGCCGATCAAGTCGTCGAGATTTCGTTGCCAGCATCGCCTCTCACCGTCAACGCCATTGACACCCGACAGTCCAGCAGCGAGCTCTCGCGCCGTGTTGACGAAATCACCCGTCAACTGGACTCAATTCAAAGGCGCCTGGATCAAATCCTGAAGCTGCGTCCACAAAAACGCTCCCAAAGCCAAGACAACAATGCCGCTTCATCGCACGAAATGATAATGGCCCCTGCTACTACCATCGGGCTTCGGGGACAAAGCTTGGAAATGTCAACCACCTTGCTCAGCTGGACGTCAGGGAAACTTCAATGGCAGCCCGTAGAGACGGCCGCAAGCTGCCAACTTAGAGGTTGTCGCATATTTGTCACCGACCAAGTCACAAAGCGGCGGTTGCTCGTCGACTGTGGCTCCGACATCTGTTGCTTTCCCCGAACCTTCCTGCGTGACAAGCGTCCTTGCACGCCCTTTGAGCTCAGCGCGGCAAACCATTCGACCATCAAGACATACGGCTCGCTCCACCTTAACATCAACTTCAAAAACCTGTGTCGAAATTCTTCATGGAATTTCCTCATCGCCGACGTCGCAGAGCCAATCATCGGGTCCGACTTCTTGGCATACTACAATTTTCTACCTGACTGCCGATATGACCGACTTATCGACGCTACAACAGGCCTCTCCATGCCGGGCCAACGTGCGACCACCCAACAGCCTAACGTCAAGGCACTCACCATTGGGAACCAGTCGCCATACCACGACATCCTCGCAGAATATCCCGACCTGACTCGACCTAGCGGGCGTCCGCGAGAGGTGCGCCACTCAACCGTGCACTACATTCGTACTACTCCCGGCCCCCCAGTCTCATGCCGCGCCCGTCGGCTAGCCCCGAACCGCCTACGAATCGCACAGGCCGAATTCGAAGCCATGCTCCGCCGCTCAGAGGGACCTTACGCCTCACCACTTCATCTGGTACCAAAGAAGACCAATGGCTGGCGCCCCTGCGGAGATTATCGTGCCCTCAACGCCCGAACCATCCTCGACAGGTACCCCGTCCATCATATACAGGACTTTGCACACCGCTTAGGCTTAGACGGCAGCACTATCTTCTCCGTGGTGGACCTCGTAAAGGCCTACACACAAACTCCTGTAAACGTGGATGACGTCCCAAAGACAACAATTATCACGCCTTTCGGCCTATTCAAATTCCCTTTCATGAGTTTTCGTCTCTGCAACGCGGGCAAACCTTTCAACGCTTCATCGACGTTGTCCGCTGCCTGGACTTCTGTTTCATTTACCTAGACGACATCTTGATCTTCTCCCGCAACGAAACAGAACATTGCCAACACCTTCGTCAACTGTTCCAGCGTCTCAACAAACACGGCTTACTCATAAATGTTCAGAAGAGCACGCTCGGCACCCCCGTCGTCACGTTTCTTGGCCATGAATCTCTTCAGAAGGAACTAGACCCTTGCCTGACCGCATCCTGGCCCTTCGAAATTACGCGCTGCCTGCCACAGCGAAAGACCTCCGCAGTTTCCTGGGCATGTTCACCTTTTACAGGCGCTTCGTGCCTAAAGCGGCCACATATCAGGCCCCTCTCCATGATGCGTTGGCCGGCCAACGTGGCAACCATCCTGTCACTTGGACCCCAGCCTTAACGCAAGCGTTCGAAGACTGCAAAACTGCCCCCTGCAACGCTACGCTGCTCTCCCATCCCAAGCCAGAGGCGCCCCTGGGTCTTTTCACAGATGCCTCTAGCACCCTCTCTCATGCAGTGTGTGGGAAACAACTGGCGCCCCTTGGCGTTCTTCTCGAAGAAACTCTCTTCCCCGAAGTCGCCCCCGCCTTCCGGCAGCGTCGGCGATGCAACCGCGCCCCCTGCGGAGACGACCTGGCCAGCCTACTACAGAGAGCTCCTTGCCATCTACGAAGCAATCCAACACTTTCGCCACATCCTCGAGGCACAGCACTGCACCATATACCTATCACTTACGCCTTCTCCCAACGCCGCGAAAAACTTCCACCGGTCCAGCAGAACCAGCTGTCCTCCGTCGCTCAATTCCCCACAGATATCCACCACATCAGCGGAAAGGAAAACGTGGTCGCCGACGCACTCTCTCGCGCTGTCGAGTTACCAACCGTTACAACCAACGCCCTTGCCGAAGCTCAGAAAACGGACACCGATCTCCAGCAGCTCCTCGAGAATGGCTCTTCCCTTCAACTTCAAAAAGTTACCATCCCTGGGTCAACGGACGCTCTCTACTGTGACATATCAACAGGACGAGTGAGACCATACGTCCCTTCTTTGCATCGCCAAAGCCTCTTCAACCAGCTACACAACCTCAGTCATCCCGGCATCCGCGCTTCTACACGCCTCGTGACTGACCAGTACGCGTGGCCCTCAATGCAATGGGACTGCCACACCTGGGCACGCACATGCATTCAATGTCAGCGCACCAAAATCACCCGGCACGTCACGTCGCCACTCGGAGAATTTCCCCTCCCGACGGAACGGTTCCAGCACGTCCACATCGACATCATTGGCCCCCTCCCACAAGCCGGCCCTTACCGCTATTGCCTCACCGCCATCGATCGTTACACTCGTTGGCCCGAGGTGTGGCCACTCGAAAGGATCACCGTAGAAGACGTCGCATCAGCCTTCTTCTTTGGCTGGGTTTCACGCTTCAGCACTCCTCGTCGAGTCACAACCGGTCAAGGAAGGCAATTCGAATCTCACCTCTTCAGGCTCCTCGGGCTCTCCACCGGGTTCGAGCGTTCACGGACAACTAGCTACCACCCTTGCGCCAATGGGATGATTTAACGGTTTCACCGGCAGTTCAAGGCAGCCATCATGTGCCACCCTCACTCAACCTGGCTCGAAGCTCTCCCCGCCGTCGCTCCTGGTCTGCACGCAACTTTGAAGCCAGACATTCAAGCCACGCCCCCGGAACTCGTCTACGGGGAGCCGCTTCGCCTATTTGGAGAGCTCCTCTCCGCTCCGACCTCTGATGTAACCAGCTCGGACCCTGCAGACTTCGTCGCACAATGGGCGCGCTGCACCCCTCACCAGCGGCTCGCCACACCAAGCTGACCCCGCTCGTGTTTAAGGACCTGCCAACATGCTTGCATGCCTTCCTCCGCAACGACACCGTACGCGCACCTTTACAGATGCTTACTCCGGACCTTACAAAGTCATCTGTCGCGACGACAAAACATTTACCCTGCAAATCAGTGGAAAGGATGT